GAGATGTGTGTTGATGATGAAGATGGAGGCCCGAAGGCCCAGACACAGAGCAAAGACAGCTACAGCGTCCATCCCAGGATTGGCTCTTTGCCCTCCACCAAAATCTGGGGAGGACACCTGTGCAGAGTCCCCATCTCAGCAGACAAGAGCAACACCACAGGGAACACTGGCAGAGACCGCCTGGCCATGCAAGCTAGGGCACTGTGGGCCATCGCTCTGAAATCCTGGGCATGTAGCCACATAGCTGTGGGCATTTCCCAGCCTCCCTTGCAATCAAAGAGGTTGACTCTCGCTCCCCATGACCCACCACCCCAGAATTTGAGAAGTGAAGTGTGCGAGCTCCCTCTCACACGCTTAAAAGAAACAGCCACCCGACGGCTGCCTCTCACTCAGTCCTCCTGTCCTGGCTGGGATGCCGTGGGGTGCAACTCTGCTGTGACCACGCAGATGAAGGACAGCACCCTTGGGGAGAGGGCGCACACTGCCCACCTGGCCTGGCTGGACTGCGGTACAGGAGCGACACGTGCCCCATCTCCTGTGGGTCTCTGCCTCAACAGCACAGATGCCCTTCACCCAACACAAGCATGTCAGCATTCACTAAGAGAGGATGTGCTGTGGAGTGACCTCCTCAGCACACAAAGTGTGGAAGGGCAGTCCTCCTCTCTGCCCCTTGCCCTCCCAGGTCACACAGCCATAGGTGGCCACTCTCTGATGTGACAAAGGAGCCACACAATTCCCACCTAAGCCGCTCTCATTCGGGGCAGAGGACAGTTTAGGGCTGATGGAGAAAAGGGGGCCAGCCCAGACCCCCCAGACTGAAGCCACTCCAGACTGCAGAGCACAGGGAGGCAGGGGAAGCTGCAGTGGGTCAGAGAAGTGACACCAACCCTGAGCAGCACTCACTACTCCAGGACAGGGGCAGGGGAGAGAGACAGAAGGGCAATGCAGGGGGCAAACACCAAGGCGGCAGATTCAAACAGAAACACACAGCATCACACTAAAGATAAAGGAGCCAACGTGCCCGGCCAGGCCCGAGCCGCCAGCCGGGGCAGAGAGCTGGCATGAACTATACTGCGATTGAATACCATTATAAATCCAGTTCCTCGGCCGCCACAGCCACGTGTGCACACAGCACAACACTCCCGCTATCTCCAGAGGCTCTGGCAGACAGCACATCTCAACCACTGCAATCAGAAAACAGAGACTGTCCAATCAGAGGAAGGGAAGACTCCACTGTACAACTACTCCAAAGCCCTGCTGTTGATACGCAAGATCACGTCTTCGAAAGCTCTCGCATGGAGCCAGAGCAGCTGCACTCCTCCCAGGTAGAGCCAAAGGCAGGACACCTGCAACCTGGAGAAGAGACAAAACAGACCCAAACACACGGGAACCCGCATCCCCCAGCCCCAGAAACACAGGTGCACAAACTGACAACTGCAAGAAGGAACCTCAACCCACAGCGGAGTCCCGAGTCGACCCCCAACCCTGCACCCCCAGTCAACAGTTGTGGACAAAAAATGGGCAAGGACTCAGGTGAGGAGAACACGCCTCTGAGTGCAACCTGAGCGCACATGGGGGGTGCCCTGTTGCACAAGTCAGCGCACCTGGAGGACGCGCCGAGGTGGACACACAGACAGCAAGGTCACAGACATATCTGTGAGAGTGGACATCATGAAAAATACATTCTCTGAACACAACAGAATTAACTAGAGATCAGCAGCAAAAAGAAATCTGCCAGCATACATCATTACTTCACATTAAACAGCACACATCTAAATGAACGCCACGTAGAATAAATCACAGGGGAAACCAGAAAATATTTTAAATGAATGAAATGAAAGTGTGACATATTTATATAAGTAAAGCAATGCAAAAAAGAAAGTTTATAGCAACAAACATATTAGAAAATAAGAATGGGCCTAAGTCGATTATCTAACAAAAGCAAAATGAACCTAAATAAACAAAAGGAACAAAAAACAAAGATGATCAAACATAATTTAATAGACATGGAGAAAATCAATATAATCAGGTTCTCTCAAATGATGAATAAAATCAGTACATTTACATCAGACTAATTCTAAGACCACAAACTTAAACCAGACTAACCAAGGACAAAAGAGCCAATGCAGAGCAGCCAGCCCCCAGGAGAGGAGGGGAGCGCCACTGCAGACCAGCAGAGAGGAGACTTGGGGTCTCTGGCAGTCTCACGGGATTAACCTACAACTTACTCCAACAGACATTCAGATAGACGGAAGCAAGTGGGCAGCCAAGTGAACGGCCATCTGCCTGAGACAGAGACAGCAAAGCAGCCCAGCACCTAAAACCCAACTGACCCAAACCCATCACGCACACGCTGACTCAGTGTGCGTCACAGGTTCAAGTGCAGAAGCCTGAGGCCCAGAACTTCTACACTTAGAGCAGCAGGGACTTCTCACAGCCTGGGAGTGGGCAAAGACTTATGAGGCAGGACACAAACAAAGGCACAGAGGGAGAAACTGCTCAAACAGTGAGACTTTTCACCTGCAAAAACAAAGACAAGCCACAGTCTGAAGAAAATATTCAAATTCAGACACGTGACAAGATAACATAATGTTCAGAATAATGAGCTCAGTGACACTGTAACCCGATATCACACTGCGATGGGTTCAAATAGACACTACAAATAGCCAGTACACACAGCAGGACGCTCCACACCAGGGAAAGGCAAACCCAACCTCAACCAACCAGACACCAGTCCTCACCACCCACGGTGCCTGGACCCCCGAAGTCCCACGACGCCAGCTCTGGCAAGGGTGGAGAGCAAGTGCGCTCGCTCCCACTGCTCAGGTACAAGCACTGGGAAAAACAGTGTGCTGGTGGTCAAAGCCGCAATTCAACTCCTAGGTGTCAATCCCCGCCTAAGTAGAAGCACCGCCCTGTGAAGACTGTCCCAAAACGCCAACAGCACCGACTGCGGAGCACTCAATCCCACTCTCCAGAAGAGAAGGTTGAGGCTGGAAGAGTCACCAGCAACATGAAGGTGCATGGGAGGTGCCACCACAGAAGAGCCAGATCATGCAAGGCCAGGGGCAGGAAGCGGATGCTAGAGAGCACGGGCTGCCTGCAAGTGACAAGATCTGCTCTAGAGTTACATGGAGGTGACAGACGCATGACGGCAAGAATATGCTGAAAACCACTGAACTACACACCGTAAGAAGGGTGAAATGGTGAATTCTGATGTGTGACTATTATTTCATTTAAGAAATAAAATAATAAAATAAGAGACTGTGGTGCCTGCCAAAGGCCCAGCACCAGCTCAACTTAGCAAGACCCTGGCTGTGTGGCCTCAGGCAGCCCCTCAACCTCACCTCTGCAGGAAGCAAGTGAGGGCCCCACAGTCTGGACCCAGGGACCTTTCCAGACCTTGCCCTCAGAGATCCCAGGGCCCCCACCACCTGACAGCACACGGGCAGGTCCTACAGCTTCCAGGACACCACGTCCTGCAGAAAACAAGGAACAGCAGCCAGAAGACTGTCCAGCACAGGGTGGTATCGGAGAAGGGGACAGTACACATGCCAGCTGCTAGTCAGATGGCACCATCTTCACAAGTCTTAAGTTCTCTACCTGTTTTAAGGACCTGGTTTCAAAGCTCTCCAAGGCCCACCCTCAGGCCAGGGGCCTGGAGCACCTGTTCAGACACTGTGCAGTCTGCCAGCTCTGCCACAGGCATCGGCACGGGGCACCTAGTCTTCACTGCACACGCCCCTGGGCGGCAGAGCAGATCTGAGCACACACACTAGGGACCGTCATGGTCATCCAGCCACAGCCCTGAGCTCTGGAGACATTGTAACCCGATATCACACTGCAGGCCCTGCAGAACAGGGCCTCGACCCTCCACAACTGGGATCCTCTGCAGGGCCCACAACTCCTTCCTGGCCTAGTACAGCAGCTGCTGCCATGGCCTAGGAGTCACCCACACCTGCACATATCTGGGCCCCACTCAGAGCTCCTGGACTTCAGGCCTAACTGACCTCTCTTGACCTCCCCAACCTGTCATTTGCCCCCAGAGTTACACCCTCTGGGTGCTCCAAGAAAGGCCCTAGGCAAACCCTTCCCCCAGGTCTCAACCTGCCCACCATAATGCAGGAGGCTGAATCCACCAGGACTGAGGTCTCTGACGGGCAGGGACATAGCGTAGGGTACGGTGGCACCCTCCTGCATCCCAGCCACTTGGAGGCTGAGACTGGAAATCGGCTTGAGCCCAGGTATTCAGAGCCAACCTGTCAAACACAGCAACAGGCCCCCTCTTAAAAATAAATAAGCAGAAGGATTTCAAGTTCAAGGCCAGCCTCAGAAACTTAGCAAGACCCTAAGCAACTTATAAATAAAAAAACAAAATGGGGTGGGGATGTGGTTCAGTGGTTAAGTGCCCCTGGGTATAATCCATGATAATAACTAGATAAAAAAATAAATACCATCACACAGCAGCATTATCTCACATTACAGCTCTGAAACCAGGTCATTGAACCAACTTAGCAAGTCACAGTGAGCATTTTTTTTTTTTAAATGAATAGGACAGGAAAAAGCAGCAAAATATCCAGCTTTGAAATTCCTGTAACTCAGCAGTGGTTACAATCCCAACATCTCTTACTCCCATCACATTGAAGAGACTGCCTAAATGACTGGGAGAAGAGAAGTAGGCTCACTTGTCCCTGTGCTCCGCGTGGCTCCAGGACAGGGCAAGGCGGGCCCTGGCAAGAGCTAGGTGGGCAGTCACCACCCACTTCTGAGCACCTTGGCACATTAAAGATGTCTGAACATCATGAACAGGCATAAGTGAACGAGGGAGTGGGGCAACGAACAATGAACGAGGACATTCTGAATGACAACAGTGGGACAGAGGAAGACATGGACAGGGAGGAGACCACTGTGGAGGAAGGTGTAGCAATGCGGCCAAGGTGCAGCCACCCTCCCTCTGGCCACCGCACAGGTCTGGAGGGCGAGCTGGCCCAGGAACTCACCTTTGGGCAGCTCGAGGCCAATGCCCTCGGCAGGCAGGGCTGGGCAGGAGAAGGTCTTGGCCACTGCCTGCTCCACAGGTGTGAGGGCCAAGGCCTGTGGCTTGCCGGAGCCCAGGCCAGGATCAGGGGTGGCCTTCTGGAGGTCGCCCAGCTTGCGCCGCACAACAGCACGCAGGTCCCGCCACTTGTGCTTCAGGTCAACGACGTCACGGCGGCAGTAGCCCAGGGCATTCACGGCCTGCAGGATGCGGCTCCACACACGGTACCTACGGGTGGCCTCGGCCTTCATCAGCCCCGTGCCAAACAGCAGCTGGTGGTGCTTGCTGACCTTGGACACCAGCACCTCCGTCTCCTGCAGGCAGAAGTTGGGCTTCCTCTTCTTGGCCCGGCTGGCACTCGGTCCCGCCCTCCGGCCAGGGGGCCCCAGAGCAGGGTCCTTCCTCGGGCCAGAGGCAGGGGGCGAGGCGGGCTCCAGGGTCCGGCGGCCCTTGGAGGCAGCGCCTAGTCCTGGAAAGGCACCAAAGCGGGTGTTTAGGCCCCTGGACCTGGCGGGGGTGGCAGCTCGGCAGAGCTCCCAGGGTGCCTCCTCTGTGGTTGCTGCTTCAGGACACAGCTGCCTGCTCCTGACTACCTCCCTGCTGGGCACCCAGAGTCCTGGGTTCAAGACCCCCTAGCTTCCACTGGCCTGCCTGTCTTCCCTTCTTCTTCACCACCATGGCAGAAAGGCAGGGACAGCCACCCCTGGGCCCTGTCCATCCCGCTGGGGCTACCCCTAGGACAACCCCTGCCTGAGAACAGCCCTTGCCAGCAAAAGGCCAGAGAGCCATCTACACCTGGCCGCCTGCCAAAGCACAGCCTCATGAGCCCAGTGGGCACTGGCCTTGGCCTCCATGCCCACGCTGGAGCATGGCAGCAGCAGGAGAGAAAGCCTGATTTGCAGTACGCTCCCCTGCCACCCAGTGTGCCACAGCCCTCCCGCCCCAGCCCACCGGGGCCCCGGCCAGGCCAGCAAGCAGCACCAGAGCCTCCCTGTCTTTCCCTACCCGTGAGCTTTGTCTCCAAGCTGTGGCTTCCTGGAGGCAAGGGCCCGGTCTGCTGCCAAGAAAATACTCAGCTCCGTAGGAGCAAGGGTGGGCTTCCCACAGGCAGGGGCACAGCCCCCAATGCTGGAAGACTTTCGGGGCAGACTTTTTTAAGGTACCTAAGCCCCCTCAAGAGAAGCATGCAAGACCAACAGCTCTGCCCTGTCCCCCTGGCCAGTTCCCTAGAAGCACCAAGAAGAGGCCTCTCTGGCAGGAGGAAAGTCCACCCAGGCCCTTCTGCAGAGGCCACCTTCCCTGTGCCTCCTCCACCGTACACCTGCCTGAGGGCTGCACTGCCCCAAGCTACCCTGGTCTTACAGACTCTGCGAGGGGACCCAGGCCTCCTGGCTCACTGTCCAGAAATGGCCACACATACTCCAGTTCTGCCTTGGGACGAGGAGACCAGCCAGGAGGGCAGTATTATGGTTTGGATGTGAAGTGTACCCCAAAAGCTTATGTGTGAGACAATGCAAGAAGGTTCAGAGGAGAAATGATTGGATTGTGAGTCTTGACCCAATCAGTGAATTAATCCCTTAATGAGGATTATCTGAGTGGTAACTGGAGTGGTAGGGAATGGGTGGAGGAGGTGGGACTTGGCCTTGGGGTATATATTTTGTATCTGGGGGATAGAAACTCTCTCTGCTTCCTGATCAACATGTGAGCTGCTTCCTTCTGCCAACTCTTCCACCATGCTGTTCTGCCTCCCCTCAAGCCCTGAAGAATGGAGCCAGCCTTCTATGGACTAAGACCTCTGTGAGCCTCTACAGTTGTTCTGGTCAGATCCTTTAGCCACAGCAGAGAAACAGCTAAGTCAGGGAGGAGAGAGGGAAGGATGCAATCTAGCTGCTCTAGGGGTGGAGGCTCCCACAGGACAAAGAACCGCACCAGGTGATCTTCAGAGACAGAGTAAGAGCAAATGCTCTGGACACCTGGGGAGAAAGGCCACAGATGCAGCCCTGGCCAATCACAGACGGGGGTGATGCCCGGACCTACGCCTAGTGTCTGAGAACCTGCAGGGCCCCCTTCCCACGCTCTCCCTGCAGGAGACACAGTCTCCACCCAGCAGTCACTGCCCAGAGGAGGTACAGACGCTCAGTGACTGGGACCACCATTTGCTCAGCAGTGGGGACCCACACTGCCCTGCCTGCGCCCCCACCATCACGCATCTCACCACGCCGGCACCCGGCCACCCCAGCCAGGCTGCAGGGCCCATTATCTCACAGGGATCCCCCAAACACCCCTACAAGGGCTGGTCCAGTGTGATCACCTGAATCACACACACCTTGAACTTGGGGGTGGACAAGCCTGGGACATTTATTGTTTTAGAGTAGAATAATACAAATTACATGCAGACTATTAGGGCTGGGGCTGTAGCTCAGTGGTACAGTGCCCACCTTGCACATGTGAGACACTAGGTTCAATCCTCAGCACCACACAAAAATAAATAAAGATAAATACTTTTTTAAAAATGCAGACAATTATGAATTTAAAAATAAATTATTTGCAACCAAGATATCCCCAGATGGGGCTAGGACTGTAGCTCAGTAACAGAGCACTTGCCTAGCATGTGTGAGGCACTGGGTTCAACCCTTAGAACCGCATAAAAAGCTAAAACAATTAAAGGCATGCTGTCCATCTACAACTATAAATTAAAAAAAAAAAAAAAAAGATATCCCCAGATAAATGTTAACCTGTTAAAATACTGTATATGGCTTTGCTTCTTTTATTTACCACATTTGTCACTAATTGTAACACATAGCAAATCACTCAAGGTCCTTCAACACTGTGGTTTATTTTAATTTTTTGCGGGGGAGGGGGGTACTAAGAATTGAACCCTCTGCAACTAAGCTACATCCCCAGCCTCTTTTTACTTTTAATTTTGAACTCACAACCCTCTTGCCTTCACTCCCAAGTGGCTGGGTCACATCGGTTGTGCCAGTGCCCCACTACACTAAGATTTTCGTGAGGTGTCAGACTGCATTATGGACTGCCACTTAGTGGACCGCACCCCTGCACTGGTACGTACAGTCTTTCTGAGTTGGCACTGTGAAACCATGCTATGGTGAGCACCTCTGCCTGCCTCACTGACTTTTCCCTAAGACGGAATCCAAAAAGAGGCTGAGAGAGGGAACATTCCGGGCGCCCCAAGCTGGCTGCTCTGGGACCAGACAGTTCAATGGAGAACAAGCCCTAAAGCTGCATAATTACGGATGGGGAAACAGGACCTCGGTGCCCAGCAGAGACTGGGTAAATGTAGCTGTCCTCACCCTGCAGGCATGTCCCTCCACAGCTGTCTGTCTCCCCGCTGTCCTGCCTGGAAGTGACTGGGCCTCTCCAGCCAGCCCCACCGAAGCCTTCACAGACCAACCACGGTAGAGGGGACTGCACCAAAGAGTGAGCTAAGACCCCACCAGCACCCTGACAAAGCCCCAGTGTGAAAAGTCAACATGTCAAGACAACACCAGCCTTTTTCTGATGGAAATGAAATTACACTAGAAATCACTTTTAAAAGACATGAAAAAAAATACATATGCTTAGAAATTAGTAATATTTGTAAATAATCCCTGGGTCAAAGAAATCCTAATTGAAATTAGAAAATATTTAGAACTAAAAAATTTTTTAAATACTCTGTTTTTAAATGTGTGGTATTCAACTAAGTGTACCTCTTTGGAAATTTATTTATTTTAAATACTTTTATTAGGAAAGAATAAAAGCTGAGTATTGCCTATGAACAAGAAGAATATCCAATCTGCAAGTCAGAAAAAATAAAATGGCATCAATTCGAGAAAAGGGGAGGAAAATAAAGAAAATACAAGCAGAAATTAATTAAAATTTGAAGCTAACAAGTAGCAGAAAGATGAAGTCTTTCTGAAGAAGTCACATCACAGAGATCTGTACACCTATTTCAAAGAGGAAAACGGGAAGGCGAACACACTGTCAGGAGTGAAGGGGACATCACTCGGACACTGACAACCTGAGTCAAACAAGGGCGACTGGCCACTGCATGCCTCCTGAGGCCCTGGCTACACAGGAAGCAACTCACTCAACCTGGACCCCAGGTGGCCCAGCGCAGGGGCCAACTCGCCTGCTACCTTCAGATGGTGCTGGGCCCAGAGCAGGCTATTTGGAGTCTGCGCTCCAGCCCACCCAGGGTGCTGCCCACGTGGCACCTGGCCAGGACAAGCTCTGTGCACATTCCTTCCACCTCAATACACGGGAACATCTGGATGAAGCAGATGCTTTTCCAGAAAATGCCACTTAAAAAAATGACCCAAGGAGAAACAAAAACCTGAACAGATTTTTACTATAAGGGAACTTAACAGGAAGTCAGAACTCCTACAAACAAAACCAGTCTCCCAGCAAAATCCCAGAAATACACAGTCCTATGTGCCCACAAATTCACAGGAATACATGAGGGTCGTGACTCGGGACGGTTCGGCCGGACTTTTCACTGTGAGTGGGAAAGCAGTTACTAGAAATCAAGGTCTGGACTGTGACCTTTTCCTGGGCTGGTGACACACAGGGGACCCTCCCCTGCAATTCTGGGCAGATCCAGGCAATCCCACGATCACCAAGGAAGCTACTACAACTTTACAGATTGCTGTGCTGCCACAGCCTTCTGGACACCATGCCTTGAGGTCCTGCACCTGGTGTCTGCAGATGCCAGTCTCCGTGCGTCAGGAGTCAACACTTCATTAAGACAGCCTTGGTGTGAGGCCATCTGCTCCCAGCTGTAGGTACTGCAGGGTCCTGAGCACCTCAGGGAGACTGGGCACGCCAGGGAGGAACACCAGCATATTCACGCTCATGATGGCTCATGGGGGCAGGACCCTTCGTAAGTCAGGGCACCATCTACAGTCACCAATTCCATCAATCCTCGGAGAGAGGCTCCAGCTAACTCAGGAAGGGAAGAAAACAAACAGGATGAAGCCAGGGACAGGAAGAGACAACGACGTCATCTTACTGGAAACTGAGGAGATGCCGCGGACAAGTCACGGCCATTAGGGAGAGGAGTTTAGCAGAAGCTGCGTGCAAAACAGTGGGCAGAGGTCGGCCACACTCCACAGAAGCCTGCTCCCTCCAGCAAACAGACCTCGAGGCAAAAGAAATCGAGATGGAGGCACCCAGGCGATCATGGGCTCAGAAGGTACACAGAAGTGTCACAAGAACAGCCACGGGAGAACTCAGTGACCCAGCATCGAGGCTGAGACACGCTGCAGCGCTGGAACCCTGTCACTGGAGACAACTAGATGTTCAGGCCAGGTGACCAGAAGCCTGACTCGTCAGGGTTTGGGAAGGTTCAGACAAGCTCAGCCGGGCAGGAGTGGGGGGTAGCAACAGAGAACACAGAAGGCTGCCCTGGGGGTAGACACATCACCATGTCTACTTTTGTATGTTTGAAAGTATCCATGTTTAAAAAGTTAAAAGAGCAAAACATTTAAATTAAATAAAATCTCTGGACGCTGCTTTTTAAAATAACAACGGTATATGTACACCAGCAACAAACATTTGGAGAAGTGTCATACTCTGAAGAGTACCACCGAAAATAGCAGCCAAATAGTAGCATGTTTTTGTTGTTCTTCTTCTGTTGAAACAAATTTAAGATATGTAAATCTTCATGGAGAAAATGACAAGGCTCTATCAAAAGACGTGAAAGAAGACCACACATCCAAAGACGACATGCCGTGGGCTCAGGGTAGGAGGTCCCCGTGAAGGCTCGTGCCTGGGCAGGCGGACCCAGAGCCAGCCAGCCAAACCCAGGAATGTGACACACTGATTCTCAACTTCATGTTCAATAACAGAAAGCCCAAAATACATAAGGCATTTCTATACTGCAATGAGAAGGGCAACCTGCCCTGGAAAACAGAGAATTACGAGAAAGCTGCAAAAATCAAGACGCATTTAACACCAGAATAGAAAACTGACCGAGAGGCCCCAAGGGACACTGGCTCTCCTTGGCCAGTGCTGCAGGTCTGCAGAAAAAGGCAGAATACACGGTCTGGACCATTTGCTGCTCAAATCGTGGAAAAAACGTTAGAGTCCCTCTCCCTGCTCACACGACCTCACGCCATCAACGAGGTCACTTTCCTGGAGAACACAAAGGCACATCATTAAACCAACTGACAGGAGAGTGGTGCGGGCGAGAGGAGTGGGAATTCCTGCCCACAGCAGGCACGACCCACGGGGGTGTCCACAGCACGTCATTGAGGGTTTCCGTCCCCAACACAGAGGAAATGTAGAAAAACAAGACAAATCCAAGATAAAAACAAGAGCAATGAGCTACAGGAAAGACCTCAGGGCCCAGTAAACATGAAAGGTCACCCACCTGAGCTAGGAAAACAGACTGAGGCCAGACAGACCGCCTCACACCCACATGTGTGAACTGGCAACAGCCTGGCAACAGCCCTGTCCAACACCATTTGGTGCTGACAAAGACATGGAGTGGGGCCGGAGGAAGAGGGTGGGCGGCACGAGAAGAGCAGGCGCACAGGGACCCCGCAGGACTGCCACCCTCGTTCCACCCTGAAGACTCTGGCCACTGTCTGTGCTGGCATGGAAAGGGAAGCAACCTGGGCGTCCCTCAGACATGGAGCTGGCAGAGATGCCACAGTGCACTGCAGAGCTGCATGCAGAGCACCGGGAGAATGAGCCCAAGGAGACCTGGCCGTGCCTTTGGCCTCAGGAACAAAATGCAGAGGAGAAGTAAGTCCCAGAACTACACGAATCCCACTCGATAAGGCCCAAAGCCACTTCGAAACCAGCACTAAGGAAACAGAGCAACACGCACAGGCCTCGGGCCCGGAGGGAGGGAGGCGGGCTGAAAGGGCATGTGCGGATCTGAAGCCCAGGATCGATGAATTCTGCACCTGAACCACGAGCGTGCACCGCACACAGGGCCCTGAGAACACATGCAGACCGAGGGCTCAGAAAGGCGCTCGCCCTGCACCCTGCCGAGGACCCTGAGGGCTGCCCCAGTCCCGTGGAAGGAGGCATGTGACTGGACACTGTCCTGCTGCCCTTCCGCCCACGTCTCTCACTGCCACCCCTCCCAGGCTCCAGTTGATGGCTCACAGACTGTCCCCATTCCAAGGCTCCCTCACCTCCAAGGCTCCCTCACCTCCTCGGCTCAAGCAGCCCTGGCTAGCCAGCCCAGTCTTGCTCTTCACACAGTTCACGGTGCCCACGTGAGGTGATCTCAGAAACTCTCCCAGGCAGAATGTGACCCTAGGGCATGGGGCTCACCTGCTTCCTCTACCCCATGCCTCCAGCTCCTAGAACACAGCCTGGCACACAACACCCGGCAGTGGAGAAGAGGAGGCTGAGGGTGGAGGAGCCTGGGCAGCTGCTGTTCTCTGGGAAGAGGAAGGGGAGGTCCTGTATGGCAGTGGCCCCATGAGGAAGAGGGAGGTGGCCACTTCTGATGAGGTCTGGGACCCTCACCCTTCCTGTACCATCCACTTCCCACCACAAGTGAGAAAGACACCAGCCCCACTCTTTGCTAGAGACGCAGAGCTAAACGTCAATGACAAGCCCAGTGGTGGCCCATGCCTGGCCTCCTCCTCTGAACAGGCAGCCTGAGGAACTGAGCACTGGCCAGGAGCCTGGAGGGCCACAGGGAAGAGAGTCCCCCAACCCACAGAGAAGCCCCCACCCGAAGCTCAGTGGAGTCAGGCCCAACACATGTAGGCTTGCAGTAGCCGCTAGGCTGAACCCTAACCCTGGCCCAGAGCCGGGGGAGGTGAGCAGAGAGCTCAGGCACCCCAAATTCCATGTCTTTCCCCACCTCGAGATGGCAGCTCATGAGGTTGCCCTGCACCAGAGACTGCAGCCGCATGAGCCTGGCAGCCAGGGCGTGCCTAACAAGGGAGCCAGGGGTGCCTTACAGGTCACACCCACATGTGTAAAACTGGCAACAGCCCCTGTCCAACACCAGCTCTACAGGGGGCTGAACAGGGAGGTGGCCATGAGGCCCAAGGCAGGGCCAGGTGCAGGGGACGGGGCCTAGAGCTCAGTGACGCACACAGGCAGGGCTCTGGCACTCAGAAGTGTCAGGGTAGATCTCAGTCCTGCCCTACGCCAGCTGCACAGCCCCAGGGAGCTGTCATCCCCCAAGTGAGGGCTCAGTTTTCTTCTCCACATGCTACACAAATGGTCACCTGCTCCGCGGCAGCATCAAGAAGGCTGGATGTCATCATTCATGCGCTCAGCCACGACCAGACACCCAGGCATCATCGACAGTTCAGCACTGAGCGCCAGCTCCTCACCCCACAGGAATGCTGACCCCACAGTCTGCCCCCACACAGGACAGCCCCTCAGTCTGTACACTCCCTGCATCTGGAGCTCAGCAGCCACAGCAGTCTCTGGTCATGGGCCACACTCCTCAGGGAACATGACATGGAGAAGACCTGCCCATTGTCACCATGCCCACCCATCCTAGGTGCCAGCTGTGTGTCTTTACCTGGAGGCTGACAGCCTTGCCTTGAGGATCCCCTGAAAGGTCCACGGGTCCCCAGGCCACCTCCGCTGGTGATGGACCCATACGACATCTTCTTATAGCAGAAAGGGCAGGCAGCGTCCTCAAGAGCTGGAAGAAACACAAAAACTGGGGAGGGAAAGAAGAAAAAGAGAAGGGGTTAAATCCAGATCCAAGGTGGAGAGGGGCTTCATGGGTCCTCTGTGTCTTTTTCCAGCTGAACCCTTGGATTCATGGCAGCCTCCAGGGAGTGGCTCCACCAAGCCCCTTATAGCAGCCACTTACTCCACAGAAACACGGCCCTGAGGAAGTCACGCCCAAGCTCTCCCTGCAGAAGTCCCATGGGAGCCCTGCTCCCCTGTTCCCACTCCACCAAGTTTCGGGGTGGCTGGCTTTCCCCTGGCTTGCCCGCATGGACTGGTGCTGCCCAGGAGCTGAAGCTGCCGGCAGCATCTCTGCCTCCAGCACCATCTGCCTGAGCGGCCCCTAGTGGATGGCAAAGCAGGGGTCAGGCTGCAGAGGGGATCTGACCAGCCATTTGTTAACCTGTGTCACTCTCCATAAGCCACTGATCCCTCTGGGCCTCAGTTTCTTCCTCTCTAAAATTAGGGCAGTGAAAGTACCTACTCCCCAGGTTTGTTAGGAGCCGTGGCACACGTGACATGCTCAGGGCACCCAGCTCTCAACTCCACAGTGACGCCAGCCACCCAGCGGCTTGGCACCCTGCCTCCAAACCAAGCCATGACCAGGGGCCATGAGATGGTCTCTGGCTGGACGCGGCCAGAGCAGCGCCTCCAGGCTCCCAGACCCTAAGGTGGTCCCTGTGCGTGCATCCCCCAAGGACACCCTAGCCCTCCAGATCCAGCTTGTCACTTGTCACACCTGCAGTCTGGCCAGCCTCAGTTTGGAGACCCTACAGTGACCACCCACAAACCATGCAGGCCTGCAGGAAGAGGGGGTCTGGAGCAGAGGGAGCTAGATGCACAGAGGGTAAGAAGCAAGCCTGAGTCCCAGCACCTGAGGAAGGCCAGCATGCCCCTGCATCCCCAAGGAGTCCACCTGGGATCAGCTCCTGTGCATGGTCGCACTGTCATCCACCAAAGCAGTGGCAGCAGGGACTCCAAGCATCCTGGTCTCAGGCCCCCAGGACACTGCTAAGAATCACTGAGGCCCAAAGAGCTTTAGTTTATGTGGAGTCTATCCACAGATATTTACTCGTCTGAAATTAAACAGACTTTTCAGTTGTTTGTTAATTCATTTTGAAATAACATTGGTTAACCAATTATCCTAACCTAAATATTTTTATGGAAAATGACTACAGTTTTCAAAGCACAGCACCTCAGTGAGAGTTACCTGTGCTCACGTCAGTCTCTAGGCAGGCTCGGCCACACACCTGGGTCTGGGGCAAGCTGCATCCTCATACTGATCTGGTCGCTGGGTATAAAGAAATCCAGCTATGCAGGAGATACAGTTGGCAGAGGGACCCTGCAAGCCCCAGGGAACCCTGGGGACCTGCCTGAGGCCTTGTGCCCTGTGGGCGGGGAATAGGGCTCAGAGACTGGCTCAGGGGAGAGAGGTTGTGGAGGACTGCTGGCCCAGAGGGGCTTAGGGAGCCCAGGGCTCCATGTTAGATCAGGTCATGTGAGGCAGACCTCAGCCCTCGAGGAGGCCTCCACAGCAGGGCCTCATAGGGGGACCTAGGTGGGTACAGCGAGGACCCACGGGGACCCAACTTGAAGGAGAGAGAAACTCTTCTGAAAAGAAACCCTAGAAAGCTGACTGTTAACGGACAGCACTCCCACACACAGCAGCAGCCCTCATCTGAGCCCACCACCTTCACAGGCTCAAGCCCTGTGAGATGGCAAGGTCACCTTTGCCTTGCAGAGTGTGGAAACGAAGGCCCAGAGACATGGGCTAACTTGCCCAGGGTCACACAGCTGGTGACTGGAGGAGACAGGCTTCAGAGCCAGGCAGTCTGGCTGCAGTGCCCAGACACAACGGCACTGTTCCCCACCCCCCGAGGAAGAAGCCCAGATAACAAAGGCCCCACAGTCCCATGGAGACTTGAGGACTTCACGATGCACTCCATAAAAACCAGGGGTCATCTAAGGAAGGAGGTCAGCTGGGAGGCAGGAAAGGGAACCAGGACTGCGGCTGAACAAGGTGGGCAACCCACTGACCATGCCCCATAGAAGGTTCTGGACAGACTTCCTCATGAAGATGAGACAACAAACCACTGATACGAAGAAACATGAGACAGAGTGGAAGAAGGAAGGGTGGAAGTGGAAGGGTCTATGTCTAGGACCCAAGCACACAAGGCCATCAGGAACCCAGGGAAACCAGAAAGGCAGGCAGGAGATGAGAAGTGGCGTGGCATGTGCACAGTGTGCTTGGATGCCACCAGTGTAACATGTGCAAGTGTGTGCGTGTGTACACACACATGTGTGCATGAGTGCCTGAGGGGGTGTGCGTGCCTGTAACTGTACACAGAGGTGTGAAAAGAGACTTCAATCTCTTGCAAGTCAATATAATGCCTAAATGCTTTAAAAAAATCAAGTAGCAATGCAGCATTTAGAGAAAAGATAAACATCAAAAGAATCTACTCTCAGAATCAGACGTACTCGGCTCTGGGGAGGGCAAAAGAGGAGCACCAGGGATTGCTGTTTTTCTTAATTAATCTTGTAGAATGCATTTACTCTCTAAACTATATGCATGTATAACTTTAGAGTACTAAAGATCATTTGCAAGATTCCAGTGAAACATCATGCAGACAAATTTGCCTGGAGATGAGGTGGAGGGCTGCTGGGGGCTCCCTTAGCAGACAGGAGTCAGGCAGAACCCAATGCCGTGCTCAAGCCCTTGGAAGATGCCCCAGAGCCACCTGACTTTGCCATGCACACCATCCCACAGATATGCCCCGCATGCCCACTGGGCTCCAGGCACTGTCACGATATGTGCAGTGCAGGCCTGCCTGGCCCAGGAACACACGTCCTGGCATCATCCCAAACAGCCTGAGAACTCCAAAAGGGCCTCCCGCGAGCTTGGGGAGCTAGAGCCCCAGACAGGGAAGTCCAGCAGCTCAGGAGGTTCTGAGCTCAAAGGGCACTCTCGCCTGTGAGGGCATCTGGACACTCCTAAGAATGACAGACAGCAGTGGCCAGAAGTGACGGACATGAGGAGATCTGGTGGGGAGTGGGTCTCCTGCTGCTCCAGTACCAAGAATGGACTGCTGGCGGGACACCAATGGGACTGCTGCTGGGGCTGGGCTCTGGAGGGGCAGAGCAGTGGAGCTAGCAAAGGGCTGGCAGAACCCAGGGAGGGAGGAGGGAGGGCAAGCCCTGGCTTCCTGCCCGCTGAGAAAGCAGGTGGGCTGTGCTGTGCCCTCCCCACTCCAGAAAAGAAGGGGCAGCTGTTTATGCTAGAAGGACCCCAAGGAGCTCGGCAAATGACTAAAGCCCTGGGTCGGCTGGACAGAGGCGGGGTCTGCTGTGTGAATTCCTATGGAGACATCCTGGAAGAGAAGCTGCCGCAGGGTCAACACAGGAGGGCCAGGCAAGGCGGGCAGGGGACGAGAGGCCCAGATAGCCTCTGAGGGTGGGTGCAGTTACCGTGATTTGCTGCCAAGGGCAGAGGGTCTGCTGGATTTCATGAGAAGGGGCACAAGAAAACTTGATGAGGGTCTGAGAGAGGTGGGAGATTCCTTAGATGGAAGTGGGAAGGGATTCAGAACTCGGGTCTCCAGGCACAACTGCAGAGGGGTAGCTGGAAAGGGGCTGAGCAGCCCCAGCACCAGGACCCGCCAGGTGCAAGAGAAGCCCTGGGCGGCCTGCTCTCCATCAGGCCTCGACGGTAGGCCCCACCTCATCCAGCTTGCAAGTCCATTCTGCTGAGTGATGGAAGGTGTGACACCTCTGTGTCTGCTCAGCCCAGCCTGCTGGAGAAGCACAGTGAGTCACAGCAGCCAGAGGAGGCTGGCCTGAGTACACAAATGCCTCCTGGCCAGCACCCTGGGCCCCAGGGGACACCTGCAATCCAGCAGGTGCATGTCCCATTTCTGAGAGACAAGAACACATGGGGTACTCAGCCCCACCAACCCAAACTTGGAGTTTGGCACCCCTGTCTCCAGCATCCCACCTGTCCCCCTCCCCCAGGCCCTAGAGCCAACAGGGTGATCTAGGAGCAGTTTTGAGTGGCCCAGAAAGCACAGCCAATGCACATCCCAGCACCTAATGCCCCGCACTTTGAAACCACCAGGCAGGCACCTGTGCCCTCACAGGCTTCAGGAAGCTGGCCATGCCTCAGCTCTGGGGACCTGCCATCTGGGGACCCTGCCCGCCCATGCCCAGGCTGTCCCCCTACCTCAGTGCCTCCACCCAGGCTGTGTCCTTGACTTCCTCCCTGCAGTTTCTACCCATCAACCCCACAGGCCAGCCAGGGGCTCCCACCCCACTTCGTGCCCATGCCTGACCTCAGGGTCCCATGCTTACCCCACACCATGCCAGGCATCTCTCTTCTCCATAAAACACACATTTCTACTTGGCAGGATACTGCCTACCACCCTTCCTGAAGGAGCCAGGCACCCTCAGAAGCCACACCTGCCTGTGCCCAGCCCCAGTGCAGTCCTCATCCATCCACTTGTGACAATCAGCCAAATCCTAGTAAGCCAAGACACCAGGGCCCAGAGCAAGGTGGCCTCCAGGCTCTGTCCCTGGCCCTTTACTGAGAGGCAGAAGAACAAGATTCCTGGCCCTCACCAGGGACCAAACTGTGACCTTAGGAACTGGGCACAGCTCACATCCCTGAGCAACCCCACGACTCTGAGATTGGCACTCACAGGGGTCTCATGTACAAAGCAACCAAAGAGACACCAGGAGATGACATGACGGGCCCCAGGCTGCCCACCTCCCCTGCACCCTGCCCAGGTGCCTTGCTCACATGAGTGTCTTTAATCCTCATGGCTCCCTGCAGCGCTAAGTATAACCCCATTTTAAAAAGAGGAAAACCAGGCTCAACCCGCCCAAGGTCACTCCCAACTGCCAATGCAGACTCTTGAACAAGCAGGAAGGCAATCAGACTCTCTCACCGCAACACACAGCTTCAGTTCCAGCTAGACCACGCTGCCCACATCACCAGCCACCTGGAAGACAGGCAGTGCCCTCCCGTTGGCAAGGTTGAGCAAGGCTTTACCCAGGACTCGAGAGCCTCCAGGACGGGACCAGCACAGGGAAGCGCGTCTGTGCCTAAGCACAAGAGGCAGGGGCACTGCAGGGCACAGAAAGAGGGGACGAGCCCTGGGTGGGCCAGGCAGTCGGGGCTCCAGGCTGGCTGGCATGGCTCTTTCCACAATGCTCCGACTCCTCGGGTGGCTCAGGGTGCTAAGAGTTTCGGACACTGTGATGCACCAGAGGCTTCCAGGAGGCGGCGGGCCAGGACAGAGCAAGGGATCCAGCAAGAGCCAGCACTCAGAAAGGCGGGGCTGGGCAGCAAGAGGAAGGGCTAGGAGGCCAGGAGAGAGGTGGGGCAAGGCCTGGGGGATCTGGGAGATCCTCCGCAGAGCGTGGCGGCCAGAGTGGGCAATGGTGAGCTAGACAAAGAGAGAGGGAGGGAGGGAGGGCTGGACAAAGGCTACAGAGGCCGTGTGCAGCCCAAGCAGGCGGAAGCTGGCAGCAGGGCCAGGCAGGAGGGGTGGGCGGAAGCTGGCAGCCTGTTGTACCCAAAAATGGCCCCAAACCCGGGGCTGCCTGACTAAGGTTGAACAGAGGCCAGAGACAATGCCCACTTGCTCCTGAGGAGGCCTCCTACCACGCTGCTTCCGTGATCACCGGCCAAAGCCTGCCACCAGTTCCTCCAGCCTCAAGCCCTCGGGCTGGCGCCAGACTCCTCCCAGGGACCCCAGCTCTCTGCCAGCCTGAAGGGAGCTGTCTGTCCTCATACTGCGCAGATCCTGTTTACAAGGTGCCAGAGGAAGTGGGGGTGCCAGGGAACGCCCCCCTCAGCCCTGCTCCCAGGTCCAGGAGCAGAGTGACGCCAGTCAGCAGACTGCCAGTCAGCCCTCCCAGCCCAGCGCAGGCTAGGGTCCCAGCACTCAGACCCCTGGACCAGCACACAGGGCTCAGGCCCCTTGGCCAGGCTCCCAAGACAGCGTCCCAGGAAGGACCCCAGCCTCTGGCAGAGGGATGACTGGGCCCCCTCAGACAAGGAATCCCCTAGGCTGGGGCTACCCTTCCTAGCAGCAGACAAGGAACCACGTTCCCTGGAACAGGGTCCCCAGAATGCCCCCTGCCTCCCCATGGCTGAGGGGTCTCCCAGCTAGGGAGCAGGTCTTCTACGGGGTCACACAGGAGACGTGGCAGCTACAATCCTGTTTTCCCTGCCAGATGGGCAGTAGTGCTCCCTCCAGAGCTAGGCAAGGGGTCAGTCGGCTCATGTCACAAGAACCCAATCCCTGCTGCCCAGACCCCAAGCCCCGTGAGACACAGAGCAGAACTGGATAGGCCTGGCCTGCCTGAGCGGGTCTCATGCTGCAGTTGACAGACACAGAAGTTGATGACGCTTGTCACATGGGGGAGGAAAAGATGAACTGCTGAAAGGGACAGACACCCGGATAACTCAAGCCATTGCTCTCAGGTGGTCTCAGGGCTGAGCTATGGCCAGGGTATGCAGTGGCAGAGGTAATAGGAGGGAGCACTACTGTGTTCCCAGGAGCAAAGGGCAAAGAGACGAGCCCAGGGCCCTACATCAACTAGGAGCCAGACCCTTACAGATGCAACCTCTGACCTCCTGTGGGGTCAGAGACCCGTGAGGAATTAAAGACACTCACATGAGCAAGGCACTGGACAGGGTGCAGGTGAGGTGGGCAGATCATGAGGACACGAAATCCCTGAGGCTGATTCTGGCCCCAGGTGGGCTGGGCTCACACCTGTGTTCTCCCCATCTCTCCAGAGAACAAATGGTGGCACAGGATGGCATTTAACTCCTCCTCAAGAATCTCAGCTCCAGCCTGCCCAGTATATAGAGGGAGGGATGCTGCCTTCGTGTTCATCCCAACTGCAGCTGCGCAGAGCTCACGGAGAAAAAGAGAGTCAGCAACAAACAGTGGTGTTGAGAGCGGGTGAGGTCCAGGTCAAGGGCAGCCCTCACTGCAGAGCACTGAGAACCCCTGGCCCTGGCACACACACGGCAGGCACAGGCGGCACCAGAGCCACGAAAACTCGCTCTCGAAGCCTGCCTGTGGGGAAAACCACTTTCCAGAGCAAAGTTGAAGAGGAGAAGTTGAGGGCTGAGGCTGGGGCTCAGTGGTAGAGCACCTGCCTGGCACGTGTGAGGCACTGGGTTCGATTCTCAGCACCACATACAAATAAATAAAGGTCCATCAACTACTAAAAAAACTAAAACAAAAAGAGAGAGAGAGAGAAGATGAAGGAGGCTGCTGGAGGGGTGTGCTCTGCAGGGGCCCCTCCGGCCAAGGTCCCTCAAGGGCAGCTCCTGCAGGCAGGAACAGGCAGCGCACAGGAGGGCAGCAGCAGGCAGCACTGGGGCCTCACCCACGGCCTGGCTCAGCCTAATGAGCCCCTGTTTACAGCAGCCGGCACTCTTACGGCCTAACACACAGCCAGCCTCTCTGGGTCTTGGGCTCAGTCTAAGGCAGAGAACACAGTCCCAGCACAGGAGCAGAACCTAGGGCCAGGTCACACGGCTCAGCCTTGACAGCCACATCTCATCCAGCCCTGTGGCCTCCAACCTCAGTTTCCTCGCCTGTAACGTGGAGTCAGAAGAATGACCTCTGGAGGTGAGCATGCAGACCAGCCCCAAGAAGGAGCCACAGGCACTGACGGCCCCTAACACCTGGAAGGGAGAAGGCCTCTGAGTCCCAGCAGCCAGCACACCGGGCTGACAGAGGCCACGCAGCAGCCGCCACCTGGAACCATGCTGCTGTCTCCCACCTGCTGCTTCAAGCTGCGGGCGTGAGGCTCCCCGTGCCGTGGTGTCTGCCAGGGAGTAGGGAGGCTGCCTGCACCTGCTCCACCCTGAGCCCCGTGGCCAGCGCCAGCCCTGGCCGCACTGCTCAGAGCTCAGCAGCTACCCCTGGTTAGGCGGCACTGGGGGCAGCGACTCCAGGAGGGTGAGCTGCCCGGCTGCTGCCCTGCCCAGGGCCAGGCAGACAGCCTGAATCAGCCCACACAGGAGCCTTCAAGCTGACTAATGCCATCTGGACCCCCACCTCCCTCCACTGGACACTACCTCCCCAGGATGGCGTCAGCTACACAAATGTGTCCTCAGGACACGAAGCCAGAAGGCGCACAGAGACCTCGGAGTGAAAACCACCACCTCACAGGAGGCAGGGGTCATCCGGCAGCAAGCCCTGACTCACCACAGCCCGAGCCCCGCGTCTGGCTGCACCTGGTCCCAAAACTACAGTGTTGTATAGACCTGTTTGGGGAACACAGCACCCGTACTGGGAATTCCTGATGTAAAGCAAGCGCAGTTTTTAAGACAAGAAAAGGGAACGAGAGGGAACGTGCTGAGCAGAGTGAGGCAGCCAGGAGCTGGGCGGGTTGCCAACCCCCAGCGGCAGTGCCTCCTGCCACTCAGCTTCCATGCCACACCCTCTGCACCAGGCACCAGGGTCTCAGGTGTGTCCTTACGTGGGTTCCCCTCTGAGGGAGGGGATGGAGGAAGGCTCCACAGCACCCTGGCCATACCCCGAGGCCAAGCATTCCTTCACAAGTTCCCCAAGCAGGGGCACTTGATTAGCACTTGAGGTGTCCGTATGAATCTGCTATTTTTTTTTTAATTTTTATTTTTTATTTAAAGTGGATACAATATCTTTATTTTATTTTTATGTGGTGCGGAGGATTGAACCCAGTGCCTCTCGCATGGTAGGGGAGTATTCTACCTCTGAGCCCCAGCCCCAGCCCTGAGTCTGCTATTTTTAGTATACAGAAAAATACAGACACAGATGTGCGCGGGTTTATGTATCACCTGCTTATACACATTTGCGTAGTTCTATAATGGCAGCTAGCCCCTTCCTAGTTTAGTCCAATGACAG